ATCTACCCCAAAACGCCTTCCTGCACATGCTGCGGGCCTCACAACGCAGGGCATTTCTGCGGAAGATCAAGCCACGGCGACACGACCTTGGCTACCTCGCCTCGGTCAGACAGGGCCTTGACCTCTTCGCCAGCACGTGGCTCGCGCGAACCAAAGGAGCAGCCAAATGCACTGCCTGGCAGCTGGCGCTCCTCCTGAACTACCTGTCGGGCGGGGACCACACCCAACAGCGACGATCCCGATCCAACACGTCGGCAGACCCCAGCCCCATGTGCCGCTACTGCGACGAGGAAGAGGAAACTCAGGAGCACACTGTCCGCGACTGTAAGTGCTGGGCCCGAGAAAGAGTTCCTCTCACCACCCTCATCAGTGACGACCAGTGGGCCCGTCTTCCGCCGCACACAAGACACTGCGGGCTCTTCGACGAAGACCCAGCCCTCCTCGACCTGCAGGCCGACCTCGCGAGGGACCCGCTGCCACAGCCCATCCCGCGGCCCCCCCCCCTGAGGGTGATCCTGCGGCTTCAGCCCAGGACACCTACACCACCTACCTTGACAACGACACTGGATGGACATGGGTCTATGCTGCCACGGACGGTGCGTGCACCAACCAAGCCATCCCACTCCTAGCACGAGCGGGCTACGGCGTCTACTACGGCATCGACCACCGCATGAACTACAGTGCACGCGTTCACGGCCTAACGCAGAACGCCCAGGTTGCGGAGACCCTTGCCATCGTCCACCTTACGGCGTGTGCCGAACGGCCCGTGCACGTCTTCGTGGACAACCAGGCGGTGGTCGATGGGTTCCAAAGCATCATCGACGGACATCCAGCGCCGCAGGGCACGCACGCGGAGCTCTGGGCAATGATTCACCGATGTGTCATGGCCAAGCCCGACATGTTTCGCGTCGAAAAAGTCGCCAGCCACCTGGGAGACCTGGGCATCGACCTTGGGCTCATCGGGCCCATCGCGGAGGAGTTCAACCGTCAGGCCGACGCCCTTGCCACAGCGGCGGCACGCACGCACAACCTCCCCGACGACATCGTTGAAGCTGCCAAAACACGACATCGCCAAGCGACCGTGCTTCACGGGGTCGCTGTCGCCATCTACGAGCGCAGACACCGTACTCTGCCGCTCCCACACCGCAGGGCTGGGTTTACAGCGGCTGAACTCAGCAAAATGGAACCGAACCCCCTGCTGTCGGACCAGGCACCACCCGCGGCTGGACCAGACATCCCGCAGAACCCGGACGAGCTCTGGGCCGAGGCCCAACGGGCGATATACGACGAACAGGAGGACGACCCGTTCGGCTTCGGCGGGGGACTAGACTTCCTGGACGACGGGCCAGCCAGCGCCAACCTTGCCCCGTCGGGCATCCGCACGACGCCCACCTCGACTCCGCCACCGAGAGCGGCACCGCACCCACATGATGACGTCGCTCACCTCCAAGACGCCGACGAGGACTTTTATGATCCCCTCGGATTGGGTGGCAGCATAGACGACGTCCCGCCGACACCCCACGCTGCCGACGATGCCGCTTCATCGAGTCGCCACCCGGTCACGCGGCCGACCTCTGAGCCCTCGCACGGCATCATGATTGGTCCCTCCGTGCCACCAACCCCGTCCCCCCACCAGCGCCAGCCCGCGGGGGCGGCTTCAGCCCCCCCGCAGGGCACTGAGCCAGTCAGGCCGTCGCGCCCCGTCCACGCTCCTACTGTTGCAGGCTGCGAGGCTGCGGCTCCTCCGTCCTCAGGGGGCGTGGCCCCAGCGGCTTCAGCCCTGGGACCGCGCGACACCCTCCAGTCGCCTCGCCACGGCGACGGCCGCCAGCGCACGGACCGCCGCACCGCGCTGGTCCACCACCTGGCCAGGCGCACCGATGACCTCGTCCCCGCCGCGAGGCCCGCGGCCGCGGGCACAGAGCAGCCGCCCCGCACCGACCGCGAAGCCGAGCTGTCCCAGTCTACGGCCGCTCTCCAGCAGAGGTGCGCTGCTCTCGCCGCCGACCTTGCCGCTGCCCAAGCCCGTCAAGGCCCTTTGCTCCAGCGCCTCCACCGCGCCGGTCGTGCCTTCGCCGAGCTGCTAACACCCCCGCCCGATGGTGCTGCGCCGCCACTCACCCTCCATGCTATGCTGTCATCGCTCCGCGGCGCTCCGCCTGGAGCCCCGCGCTAATCTCCGCCATTCTGCCTGCCCGTGTGCACGCGTGGCCCCGCGTCCACGGTGTCAGGGCGTGGGGGCGGGGGGTGCCCCGTCCCTGCGCGCCGCGCTGCGGCCAAGCGCCCAACTGGCGGTCTGCCAAGCCGCCTAGCCACGTGTCCGCACGTCGCCTTTCTTGTTGGGGCCTTCTTCGTCACGCGGTCTGACACGTGAGATCTTCACAGTCTGTCCGCCGTCCGTAGCTTCAGACGCAATGCGCCGGGGGAGGGGGTCTGTTGCCCGCCCTCGTATCTTAAGGCTGCACCGCCGCTAATAGTGTTTTGCGGGTTGTCGCACCGCAGTGCGCCTCGCGGACGGACCCTGGTCCGCCTACTTGTCCGGTCTCTCTCTCTCTCCCTCTCTCTCCCTCTCTCTCCCTCTCTCTCTCTCTCTCTCTCCCTCTCTCCCTCTCTCGCTCTCCCTCGCTCTCCCTCTCTCTCTCTCTCTCTTTCTCTCTCTCTCTCTCTCTCTCTCTCTCTCCCTCGCTCTCGCTCTCGACCTGCTGGGTATCGGGTGGGCTCCCGGGGTGTTCGCGGCGCCCGCGCCCGTGCCCGCTCCATGGGTGCCCTGGCGTGCACGCCGCGCGCGAGGGTCCTCGCCACCCCGGGGGGCCGCACGCTCGTGGGCGCCCTCGTGGGCGCGCAGCTCGCACCGCACAGCCTGCCACCGCACAGCGTCGACCTGCGCAGCCTGCAGCGCCAGCACGGGCACCACACGCAGCGGAGGCCAGTCCACAGGAGACCTGCCACGAGAAACGCAACCCTGAGACCTCAGGACGTGCATTGATTTTTGTTGGTGCGGGAAGCGTCACGAGTTCCATGGCAAAACCACCGGAACCCAAGCACTATGCATCACACCGCATAGCTCACACCGCATACAGAACACCACCCAGCGTGTTCAGCAAAGCCTACAATGCACCGCTCGTCCTAGCCAGCGTACACCACATGGCGAACACAAACCGCACAATTCACACAGCAGACCTTGCACTAGATAACGAACACAACATAGCTCACAGTGCATAGCTGACACCGCATAGCCTGCACATCCACGGTGACATAACTCTCTGCTTGGGATCCACCCTCGCTGACGTTCTGGAGGGTGATGAATAAGCACATCTGCGCTACGGACTCCGCGTCTCGAGACCTCATTGCTGGACCCATGGCGGTTGACTTGTGGGCCAAACACTGCTGCCGTCACGACATTCCCTCGGCCAGCCTGAACAGGTTCCGCGAAGCCGAGCAGCATTGCCAGTCACTCTGCGCAGGCGTGCTGGCCCAGTCCGAATCGCAGCTTGGCAAGCTCACGAGGCCCGCTGCTTGCAGTGCGTCTACCTCGCCCCTCTTCGGGAGCGGCCAAGAGGGGGGTGTCCAAGAGGGGGGGGTGCAAATCATGACCGGCGGCATGTGCGCGGCCCAGCGGGGGCCAGGGACGTAATGAAATAAGAAGAGGCGCCATGAAATCACGGGAAATATCATGGCCCCCGCCATGATATCCAGCCCCCCTAGTCATCACCCCCCTCGTTTCCGCCCTCGCCCCTCTGCCCCGCGCGTAACCCCAACCCGAGGAACCTCCCGTCAGGCGGAGCTGGGGGAAACCACAAGCTTCATCGCGCAAGAGCCGTGGCCTTGGATGCTCCTGCTATAGATCGCGTTTCTCGTAGGGCTTGCGTCCTCGAGGCCGGGCGGGAAGATCTCGGAGAGATCGACGCTCTTTCGAGGTGTGCTGCCTGGAGCGAGTTTTCCCCCGTCGCTCGGACGTCAATTCCCTGTGTGTGTGTGTTTGTTCGGTTTCGTGCTCGTTTTTTTCCGCAGGATGGTCCAGGATGCTCCTTAATGGTCCCCGCCGAAAACAAGTGCACGCGTCCGAGCGATAACCAAGAGCTCCACACAAGGCCAGTGAGTTCCCCTTTCCTCCCTCGCCTCATTCCCGCTTGCCCCAACGTCCGTCCCCTTCTCCCTTCCCTCTCCAAGACGGAGCCCAATCACTCGCCATCGCTCGGACGTCCATTCCCCGTGCATGTTTCGGTTCCGCGCGTGCTTTTTTTCGCCAGATGGTCCAGGATGCTCCTCGCCTGTCCCCACCGAGAAAAAGCGCACATGTCCGAGCAATGCCAAGATCAATGAGACGTTCACAAGTTGTCTCGTTGCACATCGGCTGCGCACCGAATAACCAGGCGCGCCCCGGTGATCGAGGTCACTGAAAGAAGAGGAGGAGGAGGAGGAGGAGGAGGAGGAGGAGGAGGAGGAGAAGGAGGAGGAGGAGGAGGAGGGGTAGGAGGGAGAGGGAGACGAGGGAGGAGGGGTCAGGAGGATGAGGGGGAGGGGGAGGAGTGGGCAGGATGGGGAGGGGGGGACATTCCCACTGTCCCCACAGCATTGTCCCCACCACCACAGTCCCCACCACTGTCCCACTGTCCCCACCACTGTCCCGCTGTCGCCTCACCACTGTCCCCACCACCACCGTCCCCACCACTGTCCGCCCCCCCCCCCCCCGGTTTTCGAGAGGGGGAGGGTTCGAACCGGTAGTGACCCCCCCCGGTTTTCGAGGGAGGGGGGGGTTCGAACCGGTAGTACCCCCCCACACTTTTTCATGATGGACTGGGGGGGGGGTCGAACCGGTAGTGACCCCCCCGGTTTTCCGGGGGGGGGGGGGTTCGAACCGGTAGTGACCCCCCCCCCCGGTTTTCTGCCAGCAGCGGTAGAACACTCTCTTTCGAACCAGGAACACGAGGCCGAGGAGGAGGAAAATGCGGAAGGAGAGCGAGGAACAGCAGGGGAAAGGGGGCAAGGAGGATGAGGAGGAGGACACCGACGCCGAGGACCAGGAACAGGACGAGGAGGAGAAGGACGAGAAGGACGTGGAGGAGCAGGAGCAGGAGCAGGAGCAGGAGCGCGGTCGCACCGAAGACGATACCGCCGAAGAGGAGGCCGACCAGGAAGCCCACGAGGATCCCGCCAGACTTGGCCTTCTCCCCGTCGGACGTGGCGTTCGTCGAGTTGGAGGAGTTCGCTGCGCCCTCCTCGGGAGAAACCGCGTGGTCGGCCATGGACCCCCTGGCTGCCCATCGGCCCTCGGGCCTGTCTTCGACAACCTCTGGCGGTCGTCCGGCGGTCTTCGGTGATCTCTGGCACTCTTCGGCGATCTTCGGCGCGAAAGCTGGACGATTGCGCTCCGCAAGGGGCCCATGATGCACCACCCGAGAGGAAGAGAAAAGGTGCAAGGCTCGGGGATCGAACCACATCCGGGGTCGGGACGCGAGATGGCCACGGTGGACACCTACGGTCACGAATCCTGCCACCCTGAGCCATGGGGGGCGCCTTGTCCGGGGACCTCTGATGGCCCCGAGGTGCCCCTGGAGCTTCCGTGGGTCCGCGGCGCCACCGAGGAGGAGGAGGAGGAGGAGGAGGAGGAGGAGGAGGAGGAGGAGGAGGAGGAGGAGGAGGGAAGGGAGGGGGAGGAGATCCGGGGGGGCACCTGCTGGCGGGCCGACGGCGTCGGCGACGCGCCCCAGGCCCAAATGGGAGCACGGGGCGCACAGGGACCCACTGAGACTGCATGTCCTCCCTGTGGAGCAGGGGCCGACCGCCCCGGCATTCCCTATAGTCCTACCACGACATGTTCTCAGAACCCAACGCTGTTCCAAGAACAAAAACCATGTTCTTAGAGCATCAACCCGATGTGTGTAAAACGAGACAGACTCCGCCAGAGATGTTCTAGGAACAGATCGTGGAAGCCACGAAAGGTTGTGAGAACATTGCTCGGTAAGGCTATAGGCGTGCCAGGACGCTTCACCACTGCTTCACATCGGGGAATCTCGAACTTCCAGGGGGGGGCACCTGCTGGCAGGCCGACTGCGTCTGCGACGTGCCCACATGGGAACACGGGGCGCACAGGGAAAGGGACCTACTAGCACTGTATGTCCTCCTTGCAGGCGCGCGTCGAACAGAACATATGCGGCGGTGGACAAACCTCCCTTCAATAAACCCCCCCCCTGAGTGAAAACGGCCTGGGACCGACACCGACAGACCTGAACCCGCGAAAACGACGGCCGCGACGCCCTCGCAAACCGAAAACGGCCGATTCCTGAATCGAAGTGTCAGGGCAGGAGGTCTGTCCACCTCCGCTGGATGTCCTCCTTGGAGGCGCGCGTCCGAACCGAACGTCCAGTATACGACACATTCTGTAGTACATCGCTTCCCGAGCGGTGTGGCCAGAAAGCGCCCGCGCCACGACGCCCGTACTACACGATGTCTCGGGGGGCGCGCGCCGCCCCCCTTGGGGGGTGGCGACGCCCACACACGGGAGAAGGACGTTTGGGGGAAATCGGAAGGTACCGTAATGCCGCTGCTCCCCGGACCTCTCCTGGGGTTACGTCGTTCCCATCGCACTTGAGGGACCACGTCCCGGAAAGAGTTTCGAGCACCAGGAAAAGTGTCGAGAGAGTGTCGAAACAGTGTCGGGCGAGTGTCTCCCAGGGTCCGGCACGTGAAAACCCTCGAGTTTCGGTATTTTGTCTGGTGCTCAAAGCACTTTCTGGTGATCAAGGCTAAAGTAGGTTGGAACATCAAAATCCTGAGGTGCGTTCTGACCAGAATTTCGAGGCGAATGCAGCGGTGGCGACGACGGCCTCCCAGAAGGCCCAACAAGGGGAAAACGAAGGAAGGGTGGAGGCACGGGTACCTCTTCCTCCTCTGCCTCTTGGGGCGGCGCCGAGAACCGGCCGCCGGGCTCCCCCTGCAGGCCGAGCCCGTTGGGGGGGGGGGAGGGGGAGGGGGAGGGGGAGGGGAGGGAGGAGGAGGAGAGGAGGAGGAGAGGAGGAGGAGGAGGAGGAGGAGAGGAGGAGGAGGGAGGAGGAGGAGGAGGAAGGAGCGAGGAGGAGGAGGGGAGAGGAGGAGGAGGGCGCACGAACCCGCTGGGACAGCAGCGCCCAGCGCGGAGCGGGGCCCTCGCCCGCCGCGTCGCTGACGGGCTTGGAAGACGCCGCTAGGGCTCGGGAGGGAACCCTGAAAGTGGAGGCCTCCTCTCTCTCTCCTCCTCTCCTCTCTTTCCTCCTCCTCCTTCTCCTTCCGCCTCCTCCTCCCCTCCGCCTCCTCCTCCTCCTCCTCACCTCCCTCCTCCTCCTCCTTCAATTTCTTTTCCTCCTCCGCCTCCTCCGCCTCCTCCGCCTCCTCCTCCTCCCCCTCCTCCCCCCCTCCCCCTCCTCCTCCTCCCCGCCTCCTCCTCCTCCCCTCCTCCTCCCTCCTCCTCCGTCTCTTCTCCTCCTCCTCCTCCCCCTTCCCTGGCCCTCCTCCGGTCTCCTAGATGGGGTCCGAGTAGGCGGGGTCGGAGGATCGCGCTGCATCGCCAATGCATCGCCGATGCATCGGCGATGCATCGGCGATGCATCAGCGACGTCGGCGTGGGGAAACACGGTCACCACATCGAGCCCTATCGTCGATGCATCGGCGATGCGGCCCGATCCTCCGACCCCATCTACTCGGACCCCATCTAGGAGGCCTAAATGAGAATAGATTGTGTGTTCCGCCCGCCCCCCAAAAAAGATAGAAGAAGGGGAAGCCACTCGATCATTGAAGCAGGAAGGCGACTGAAGTAGATTGGCACCTGGGAATCCCCCCTAAATGCAGACTTTCGACGATCGATGGAAATATTGGCTCGAGGGGGGTGGCAAGGACTTGGAATCGACAACGCATCGCCGATGGATCGGCGGTTGACTTCCGATAACGTTAGGTCGGGCATGTCCCCCTCCAGATGGATGTTGGACGCCAATGTTTATGACAGTGAACAAAAGGCCAAACATTCACAAAAACAGTCGAGCAGTCGTCCTCATACTACTTGTTGGCACTGTTTGCCTATGCCTCTGGTAGAGGGACAGGCCCGACTTTTTGAACGCCCAAAATGGGAACGGAAAGAATGGGTACAATGCCCAACAACAAATGTTGTCCCAAACCAACAGCGGCCGCTGTTGGGCAGGCGGCCTCCTGTCTCGAATGGACACAGGCCGCGGCGGCGTGGACAGCAAGTCCTGCTCAAAATGAACAGGAGCTGCTGCAGTCGCGGGCCTGCGCTCGCCCGGCGGGCGAGGCCCCCTGGTAGCCAACATGAGGTTGTGTTTTCTCGTTTCGGGAGGGGGAGGAAGAGGAGGAGGAGGAGGAGGAGGAGGAGGAGGAGGAGGAGGAGGAGGAGGAGGAGGAGGAGGAGGGGGAGGAGGAGGAGGAGGAGGAGGAGGGGGAGGAGGAGGAAGGCTTGGAACTGACACCGCCCTCGTCGGTGCATCGGCGGTGGGCCTCCGACAGCGGAGCCCGTTGGCTTCCCGGGCGGGGCGGGGCACCCGAGCCCCGGGGCTTCGGCGGAGCACCTCGCTGTCGGGTGGGCTTCGGCGGGAGAGTGCGCCACGACCGCCAAAAGTGCTGCTGGTGCACTGGCGTCGGAAACCTATATATCGCCAGAGAAATTCCGAAGTCGCGCCATATGTCGCCCACGCACTCTGGGAGGCCGGGATTCGGGACAGAGACGCAAACCAGGGCGGGCGCACGGGCGACGCTCGGGCGACGCACTGAACGAAACTTAAAGGGGGGGGGTCGCATGACTGGGCCTTAACAGGGGGGGAGGGAAGAGCTCCGCCGGCATGCTGCGTGTCGAGATTATGCCGGGCTTGGCCGGGGAGCTTCGCTGTCAGTTGGGAAGAGAAGGAAGAGCTCCTCCGGAACACTTCGTTGTCAGTTGGGCTTGGCGGGAGGAGAGGGAGCTCCGCGGCATGCTGCGTGTCGAGATCATGTTGACGGCGCGGTCATTGGCGGCGCGCAGAAGGGGGTATGGGGGAGGGGGGAAGGACTCTTGGAAGGGGGTTACTTCTTAGAAGATGCGGGCCTTACATCTACAGATCAGGCCATCGCCTTCTAAGAGGAGGGCGTTTTCTTATTCGTCGTTTCGGCAGTGTGCGTAAGGGGGGGGGGTCTGGCTCCAGACCTCTCCTTAAATGCGACTGTTTGCAGCAGTGCCCATTATGCTGGAGACTGCACCGATTTGAAACGGGCGCCAAATACAGCCACGATCTACTCCATGGGCGGGGAGCGGAGGGGTGGTGCGAGGGCCCGCGCCGACTGGCACACCAATGAATAAGAAAACGATCCCCATCCAGGCCCCCGACGTCGTGACTTGTTTCACAGCGTGGGCCCCTGGAAGTCTGTCTCCCCTAAATCGTTTCGTTGACAGCCCTGGGGCCGGGCGATCGGGAGGAACAGAACACATCAGTGACGTGCACGTCGCCTTCCGAACTGAGCGTGTTGTTCACTTGCGCTTTGCACGGAAGCCTCACACTTTATCAACAATAGCACGCTGGTGGGGTTGCCGCACCAGCGCAGCATCCATACCCTCGTTACTCTCCTAGGTTTAAGTCGGGCCTGTCCTCCTAGAGGCGGATTTGGGGCGAAACAATTAAAACTTTTCAAACAATACACCCAAACATGCTGAAACATATTCAAAACATCGTGCCCTGACTATCATTTTTGACTATTTTGAACAATCCTCCTGTACTCAAAATCCCTTATTAATCGTCCCCCCGGGTCCGGTTGTTTAAGGCGCCGTTCTTGTAACTGGGGGGGGTCCGGTTGATTAGGGCGCTTTCTTTGGACTGGAGTTTAGGGGGTCCGGTTTATGAAAGCGCCCCGTCGAGGAGGGGGGTCCGGAATATTAGGGCAAATTTGGAGGGGAGACGGTTTTTTAGGGGGTCGATTAATAAGGAATTGGAGTAGAGGAACAGGCCCGACTTAGTCCCAGGTTGGGGCCCAGGCAGGCGATGGCCAACAAAAACCCTCCGCCGTGGTTTCTTCACCGCGCGGGGACGTCAGGGCACAGCGGTTCCCGGCACTGCCTGGGTATCGTTGAACCGATCCCCATCCCCAGCGGCGTGGCCTGGGCCCCACTGGCCGATCTACCCCCCTAGATGGGGATATAGGTCGCCCCTTTCGGGTTTCGAGGGGTGTATCCCTAACTGGGGGGGGGGTCATTTCGTGGGGGTCTCGAAGGGGAAAAGGATGGGGATGAAGATCGGTTAGACGATGCCGAACTGCAGGGCCGCCGCGCGCGCCGACCGGTCTGACGAGCCTGGCCCAGGATGAGCCTGGACAAGCACAGGCGGCGGCGCGCATGATGGGCCCGTTTTCCACCACCAACACCATGAGTTGGAGGGGGGAAGGAGGGGGACACCTGGGCAGGAGCCCGCGAGGGGGCGGCGCTGCCAACGGCTGAAGACCACCGAAGGCACTGCGAGAGGGCGCCGCTGCTGCGGCTGCTACTGCTGCGGGGGGCTGGCGACGACGGCGCAGGGCGCAGGCCGCTCGGCGAGCGGGGCGCGGGCCGATGCCTGGAGCGCAGGGGGACCGGCTGGAGGCTGGAGGCCCCGCGCCGGCTGGCCAGGAGGCGCGGGGGAGCTGGGCTACCTCGTCCTCGCGGTGCTCGTCGTGCTCCCGAGTATCGGAAGCTAGAGGCACTGGCTGGCAGACCCCTCCTCCCCCCTGGGAGTTGCCGCTGTCTTAGGCAGCCGGCCACCCCCAGGGGTGCCGCCCTCTTTGTGGGGTGGTGGAGGTTCCTGCCGGCTCCCATTTATTGTGTTTCGGCGCGCGAGTGGGGGAGGGGGAGGGGGAGGGGGAGGGGGAGGAGAAGGAGGAGGAGGAGGAGGAGGAGGAGGAGGAGGAGGAGGAGGAGGACCATCACTTGGCTAATGGGGAGGCCAAGGGTTGGCCGACCCAACCCGAACCCGAAACCTCGTGGCACTGGGCCACCACTTGTTCTCCACAGCGGCCATGGGTGCCGCTGGGACGGCAGTGCGCTGCTGACGCTGAATGCGGTGTTGGGGCCTGGTGTGGCCTTGCACACCAGGCCGCAGCAGCACCGTACCGCCACCGCCCACGATCGTGGGGGGTAGGGAAGTGGGGCAGAGCCACTGTCGGGGCGGACTGGCAACCCAAGTCCACCCCCGTGCTCAGCGGCCGCCGTGGGGTTGTCGCCTGGCTGACGGAACCCCAAAGCTCGGGTTCTAGGGCTGGCTGCGTAACCAACACCGTCAGTCCAGGAAAGAAGCTCTGACTCCAGGAGACAGCAGTGGGCTGAGGCGAAGCTGTAGCCCTGCGCCGCAAGAGTGTGCAGCGCTCCTTCCCCCTGATGCGGGGTGCCAAACACGCGCGCAGGACCACGCACGCACGCACACACGCACACTACTCAGTTGGGCCAAGATGTGGCGTTGCACACCTGGCCGCAATCCCGTTCCTCCGCCGCCTGTGGCGGGGAGGTGAGAAGGTGGATCTGGGCAGCAGTCAGGGTGGGCAAAGGAGGCCAAAGTCCACCCCCGTGCCCAGCAAAGAGGTTGCGCCAAACAGCACTCTGCAGTCAAAAGGACGGCATGCCTCGCCTGGCTGGCGGTACCCCAAAGCTCGGGTACTAGGGCTGGCTGCGGGACACTAGCACCGCCAGTCGGAGCGAGATACAAAACCCCAGATCGAACCTGCATCGGGCCAAAGCGTAGCTGCGGCCAATGCAGCAGGAGAAAGAATGAGCGCTCCTTCCCCCTGAGTCGGGGTGCCTGACACGCGTGCGGGGAGCGCGCTCGCACACACGCACAAGTACACAGAAAATGAGGCGACGCCAGGACGACGCGGCACCGCCCATCCCTGGTGTAGAGAACGCCAGGACGGTGGGCAGGCCTCATCCCTGGTGTGGGCCTGTCTGCGCCTGGGCTTGAGCTGCCTTTCTGAGCAGCTGCGCCAGCGGCACGGTAGGGAGACTGAGCACAATCGGGTTGGCGGCGGCACTCTTGGGGTGACGGCCAGACTGTGCTCTCTGTAGCTGCAGCTTAGCCCCATTATGGGGCGGCCTCAACTTACAATCACCAGACAAACCTCTCGAATTGCCCTCCTTAAAGGAACCACACGTGTGGCACATCAGAAAACTGGTTGGCTGTTCGAGGGGTTCGTAATAGAACAAAGTATGCCCCCTGGGGCTGGAGGCCAAGCTGGACATCTGGAGGCAGTGCCCAGGGCAACCCATTGCACTGCATCGCTCCTCATTTGCTTTGAACGTGCGGACGCGGATGCGGCAAATCGTACACCAGCGCCGGCCATTCACTATCGCCCAGGCATGGGCCCTCGGAGTCTCGCGAGGGGCCACATGAGGAGGGGGGGAGGACGGACGGGAGGCGAGGCCCCAGGGTCCTAGGAGGCCAAGGCCGAGGCAGCCCCCGAGGGAGGGGAGAGGCTCTTCACGGACTTGGCCAGCGCCTTGTTGCAACGAGGGGCTATGGCGGGCCACTCCCCAAGGGCTTTGGACACTTGTCGAAGGTATTTCTGCAGCAGAGCAGTGTCTTTCTGATACTGTTCTACTGCGCCAAGACTAAGTTGACTGCCAAGGTCCGCGGCGGCCTTGTCATTCCTATCAGCGGCATCGTTGTCGCTAGCTAAACGAAATTCGTCACTGTCGGGGGGAAGCAACTCCAGGTTTTGGTGGGCCTTGCTTGACTTTCTAGAGTTTGGGGCCGAAGTCAAAATAGCCTCCGCCCGCGGGCACTTTACAACCTGACCATTGGTTACGTCGGGGGTACCCAGCCTCGCCGTGCAACTGCAACACACCTTTTCTAATCCGAGTAAATCTTGTCAGCGTGAGGCGAGAGCCTGCCTGCCGCCACTGCGGCGAGGTGCTCAGCGCCCCCCGAGGAGTGGGCCCCCAGGGACCCAACGCGGCCATAAAAAGGCGGCACACGCCTCTCCATCCACCATGCACAATGCAGCAAGCCCAGCAGCATTGAAGCTATAGTGGCCGTGGCACGTGCAACTACCACCTATGTAGACATCAACTCTTAACGCGTCCTCAGGCCTTAAATTAGGGCCTCGACACCAAAACTTAGCGGCCTCCAGGCCAGTGCCAGAGGGAGAGTTGCCCACAAAGTTGAGCGCAAAGTGGAACCCAAGGTGGAGAGGGGAGGTGTCAGGAATCGGGTCTTTCAACATACGAAGCTCCCCACCAGTGAACTCTTCTCTGGCCTGGGCAGTCTTGGGGCACTCGAGGAGGCGATGTTGGAGGTCATTTTTGTGGTGTCCATGTGGGCAACCTTGGGGCACATCATATCCTGCTGAACATGCGCGCTCTATGGTCCAGATACTCTGGGTGACGAAGGCCACCAGCGTGCCGCGCTGCTGCTTGGTCAGCTCGACTGAGCTGAGGACGGTGCGGAGGGCTGAAACATCAAGTTACTCGCCATGATGTCCCATTTTGGGGGCAGCCTGTACTGCTAACTTGTCGTGCGAGGCAACCTCGAGCTGCTTGGCAATGTAGGCTGGGGAAGTTCCTGGGAGGGGATACACAAGGCCTGTAGGAGTCACAAAACGGAGGGGACCCTGAAACGACCACCCCACCCTGGTCAACGAGAGGGCCGCCGCGATGAGTGGGGCCCCTACAGGAGCCCCAAGTGTTGGAAACTCTCGGCAACACCGCCTCTCCACAGAGGCTGATCTGTTGAAAGGAGGAGGAGGAGGAGGAGGAGGAGGAGGAGGAGGAGGAGGAGGAGGAGGAGGAGGAGGATGGGGAGGAGGAGGAGGGGAGGAGGAGGAGGAAGGAGGGGAAGGGGGAGGAGGAGGAGGAGGGGGGGAGGAGGAGGAGGAGGAGGTGGAGGAGGAGGAGGAGGAGGGGAGAGAGGAGGAGGAGGAGGAGGAGGGGAGGAGGAGGAGGAGGAGGGGAAGCGGAGGAGGAGAGGAGGAGGAGGAGGAGGAGGGGAGGAGGAGGAGGGGAGGAGGAGGAGGAGGAGGAGTGAGGAGGAGGAGGAGGAGGAGGAGGAGGAAGAGGAGGAGGATGGAGGAGGCAGTTAGGAGTGAGGGGAGGAGGAGGAGAGGAGGAGGAGGAGGAGGAAGGACCCCCTTCCCCCTCCATTTATGATGGGGGTGGTGGTGGAAAACAGCCCCCTAAGCGCGCTTTCCCTCGCCCGGTCTCCGGCTCCAGCGCAGGGACTGAAGAGCCGCTGGAACTTACGACGTCCTCCACGCCTTGGGCTTGTCCGTGTATCTGGAGGCCTCCTAGATGGGGTCCGAGGGGATGGCGTCGGAGGATCGCGCCGCGTCGCCAATTCATCGCCGATGCATCGGTGATGCACCGGCGATGCATCGGCGACGTTGGCGATGCATCGACGACGTCGGGGTGGGGAAACACGGTCACCACATCGAGCCGCATCGGCCATGCATCGGCGATGCGGCACGATCTTCCGACCCAATCTGCGCGGACCCCATCTAGGAGGCCTAGAGTATCCATCAGTCTGGAGACACACACCCGAGGATGCAGGCCCAGGAGTTGAGCAGGGACCGACCATTATGGCATTTCTACAGGCCTACCACGAAACTTTCTCTGACCCCGAAAATGTTCAAATAACAAAAACAATGTTCTTAGAACACAGACCCGATGTGTTAAAACAGAACAGTCCCAGCCAGAAATGTTCTAAGAACATTTCGTGGAAACCACAAAAGGTTAATGGAACATCGTTTGGTAGGCCTATAGGCACGCCAGGACGCTTCGGCACTGCTGGAAGGAAGAATCGCATCGACCAAACGGCTCGACTCGGAATGGTGCGCCGAACCCCGTAGCCGCGGGACGGGCTCGAGACAGGACAGCGTCGGGATGCATAGCAGTGCCACGCGAGCACCTGGCCGCATCGGATCGCCAGGATATCCGAATCGACCAGGATTGGGCCGGCCGGCATCGACATCGGATCGGATCGATCGGATTGAGATGTCGGGGGCGAGCAAACATGGATTAGCGATCCATGGATTTGGCGCGCGGTCGCCAACTCCATGAATCGGGGGATGTGCCCTCCCCAAAATGCGGTCGGTGCCACCTCGGTCGGCGGCGGCGGAAATCCGCGATTTCCCATTGAAACGGGACCCGTCGCTAATCCACGCCCCCTGCATCCATGTTTGCGATCGCCTGAAGATGGGCCCTGGCACGTCGCGGACCCGCATGCACCGAGATCCTCAGGGGTCTCCAGAGCGGTGGAACCGGGCAAACCCAAGGCGTGAGCATCCTTGGTCGCTGGTGCAGGCGCTGGCGCTGGCGCAGTCGACTTGGTCGAGTTGCCATTGTCATCGTCGTCGTCGTCGCTCTTCTCAATCGGCTTCTTTTTCTTCTTCGCCTCCGCGGCCTTCTTCGCCTCCGCGGCCTTCCTGGCCCTCCTCTCGGCCTTTCTTTTCCACCACGCCTTCTTTTTCTCTCTTGCGGCTGCGTGTGCTTTATCTAACGCAGCAGCCTTTGCAGCGGCGGTCGCTTCTTTAGCTTCAGCAGCTGCCTTAGCGACTGCATGAACATGATGAGACACTGGCGCTGGGGTCGGGTCGTCGTCGTCGTCGTCGTCATCTGCGGCGTCCCCCTCCAGGACCTCCTCGAGAAGACATACATAAACCTGCATGTGGAGGTCCGCGCGGATTTCTTGCACGTTCGGGATCCCAAAATGCTGCGGTGACGTAGCGTGCGGCGACCTCGAAATCCTTGAAGACCGCACCGCACGATCCGCCACCGCACGGTCCTGGGACCCTGGATGCCCCGGTCGCCGGAGACGTCCGCGGGAAACGACCCAAATCCCAAAACGGGGCGGTCACCCGAATCCGCACTGACTCGCCACACGGTGTGGTCACAGCACCGTGTAAGGGCCCCCGACCACTCCCCTTCCACCTGCGCGCGGAGCGCGCCGGGGTCGGCGCCAGAGATGACACCAGGGCTTGTGGTGGAGGGGAGTGCAGCTTCGACCCAGGAAACCCGCGCGGACTGCCAAGGGTTTCTGCTTCCAATTGGGACCGATTACCGAGGATCCGAGGTGGGGCTCGGTAAATAACCTCCGCCTGGGGTATCCAGCTTCGGGGACCTCAGGGCGTACGGTGAATATGGACATGATCGGGCCTCTGGGGGGCAAATATGTCCATATCCACCGCCTGTCGAGGTCCCAGAAGATCGATCCCCCAGGCGGTGGCTTTAGATAAACCCCCACCTCGCAGAGGACACCCGAGCGGACGCAGGTACACTCCGATAGACCAGACACCACTGTTGGTCTATCGGAAGGGACCTGCTGCTAATTCCATCAAGGGTCATATTATTGTCCGGTCAAGGGTACCCTCAGGGTACTCTTGACGTGCTACGGGCGTCGTCCCGACTGCAGAAGCGGGAGTCTAAATATATGTCCAGCGCCTGGGGAACCAGTGTCCTGGGACACCAGGAGGCAGTACAGCATGGGGCTCGAACAGAAGAAACCTTCCAGAAGAAACCTAACCCTGAGACCCCAGGACGTCTTCTGGTTTCTGGTGTGGGATCGTTAAACTTTCCGTCGCAGGACAATCGAAACCCAAGAAACCCAGGGCACCCTGGAGGCAAGCAGGGTGTTTCTTGGCATGGGCCTCCACTGTATGGTCTGAATGCCAGACATCTAAACCTCGGGTCTCATGTGGGTGTTCAGACCATACAGGGCGAGGCCCATGCCAAGAAACACCCCCTGTTTGCCTCCAGGGTGCCCTGGGTTTCTTGAGCTTCGATTGTCGTGCGACGGAAAGCCGTGACGTTCCCAGAAGGGGTCTCAGGGTTGGGTTTCTTCTGAAGGCTTCTCCTGGTCTGGCCTCCACAGGAACTCGGGCCTTCAGCGGCCGTGCGGAAAGACTTCGCCCCCCCCCCCCTTGGACGCTGCTCTCGACGACTGGCTATCGCTCGGACGTCCAGTCCCTGTGCTTTGCTCGGTTTCGTGCGTGTTTTTTGTGTTGCTCGATGGTTCAGGATGCTCCTCGATGGTCCTCGCCGAGAAAAAGATGCACACGTCCGAGCGATGCCAAGCCCCGGACGCTCTCGACGAAGCGCAGCTGATGGAGACCACCCTGGGCCTCGCAGCCCTCCGGAGGCCGTGCGGCGGCCACGAGGGGTGCATGGCGCGAGGGATGGTGGCCGTCCGGGACAAATCGGCGGGGTTTTTGAGAAGGCAAAAGGGGGGCCCTCGGAGGCCCTCCCGGCTTCTCCTGCCTGGCGGCGCGCACAAGGCGGGGGTCGGGGGAGGGGGAACGCTTCAGAGGAGGAGGCCGCTTCTCAGAAGCCGCGGGCCTCACGTTCGCAGGCAGGGCCCGCGCCCTCTGAGAGGCAGGGGCGCTTCTAGGAAGCCCTCCCCCCTCCCCCCTGCAACCCCCCCTCTGCGCGCCGCCAACTCTCAGAAACCTTCCCAGCAGCCCCTGGGCCCTGCCCACTCCCGTGCCCTCCCCAAGAGGATCCGCCCTCCGCCTGCCCAGGCAGCCGCCCGCCCCACCCCCCATCTCTCGCCACCCCCTATTGGCGGGCGCTGCTGGGACCCGATGCTGCGAAGCAGGCGACATCGCGAGAAGTCACGACAGAAGTCTTATCTTTCTGCGGCAGTCTTCGATCCATATTGCTATCTTGTAAAAGGGGGAGAGGAAGGGAGCGGACCGCAAGATTCAGGATTCTTCGATCCGGATTGATTTGTGATGGTGCCGGCGCCCGACACCGGGCAACAGTGCCTGGCGTGAAGGAAATGGAACGCCCAGATCTCCAGGGTTTCTCGGTCCGCCGTCCTCGGGGGACTCCTCCGCGGCCTCCCCGGGGGCCTCCTCCGCGGCCGCCTCGGGGGACTCCTCCGCGGCCTCTGCGGGGGCCTCTGGGGCGATGCGCTGGTGCACCAAACGGGGGGGCGATGCAGTCGGGGCGTTGGCCTAAGGAACCCTAACTAAGGAACGAGGCCCCTCTTTCCCATGAGATAAACTTCGATTTCCCATGGACCCCCCAAGGAAAACCCAAGGCAAACTGTAAAACAATCAAGGCAAGCCGAGCCCCTCCCCAACGGAAAGGGCTCCTTCTTGAGCGCCCCGACTGTAAATGGGGGGGGAAGAAACATGCACCCTTCCCCCTTTCGTGCCCCAGAAGGCCCCTCTGGGGCCCCCGAGGTGCACGACAGGTGTACCTTTCTTCACCCCCCACAAACACACACGCACACACACACACACGCACACACACACACACACCCACACCCGCACCCACACCCACACCCACACCCACACCCCCACCCACACCCACACCCACACCCACACCCACACACACACACACACACACCCGCACCCGCACCCGCACCCGCACCCGCACCCACACCCACACCCACACACACACACCAACACCCACACGCACACGCACACCCACACCCACACCCACACCCACACCCACACCCACACCCACACCCACACCCACACCCACACACGCACGCACGCACCACACACACACACACGCACACACACACACACACACACACACACACACACACACACACACACACACACACGCACGCACAGTTATCGCCCCGCCCCCCCCAATGCGCAGCGCCCGAGCCTCCTCCTTCTTCTCCCCCTCCTCCTCCTCCCTCGCTGGCGCCAGGCGCTGCTCCGCCAGGCTGGCCTTCAAAGTCGAGGGCGAGGAGGATAGGGTAGGATAGGACGCCGCCTGACGAAACGAGCCGAAGTCGAATGGCCACTGGCCGAAAACAAAACGAGTTACGAGGGAGGCACAGTGGCCAGAGGATCCTCACCCTCCTCAGCCGCCTCTTCCTCGACACGGAGCGAAGGTCTCTATCGTGCGGAACACTTCTTGAGCAGTAACATCTGCTCCCACAGGCCGCGCATGTCCTCTCTCAGCCAATCCACACACTCTGATCGCAAGACCACCCGTTCTGGCCGTACTGCTCCTGGGGGGACGCGACGCTCCGACGCTTTCAGGGCACTGGGCACCACCCGCATGGGCGCTTCGGGTCTGCCCCCCCCCCCCCCCCCTGTGGCGTGCAAACCTCGCCGTCGGTGCCGCCATCCTCGTCGGTAATGCAATCATCACACATCACAGCTTCAGAAAATGTCGCCGACCTACTCTTGGGGGGGGGGGGGGGGCGCGACGCTCCGACGCTTTCAGGACACTGGGCACCACCCGCATGGGCGCTTCGGGTCTGCCCCCCCCCCCCCCCCCAGCTGGCATGAAATCCTCGCCGTCTGCGCGTATCCCCACCTCGACAAGGCAACCGTTCAGCCACTCAAATCCAGCTGTCGTCGCCGTACTGCTCCTGGGGGGGCGCGACGCTCCGACGCTTTCAGGTCACTGGGCACCACCCGCATGGGCGCGTCGGGTCTGCCCCCCCCCCCATATGGCATGAAATCCTCGCTGCCAGTGTAACCATCCACGTCGGCAAGGCAATCACCCATCACCGTGCTACCCTTGCCGCTGCTTATTCCGCTGCTGCTCCTGTAAGCTGGACAACGCCTGCAGGAGCACTTCAACGTCACCTTCTGCGTGCTGGAACAGTGCTCGCTTCTGGCTCTCCGACAGTTTGAGCCCAGGTTCCTCATCAGCATGCATCTCTGCATCGTCACCACCATCACCAGCAGCAGGAGCAGCCCCATTAGCAGCTGCAGGTTTGGCAAACGCCTTCTGACTATGCCCCCGTAGCTTGGCCCAAGTATCTGATTTGATGAACTCTCGCACCTCAGGTTCAAGCTGCTCTTCCTCAAACTCAAGCTTGACTCCAGCGTTGCCTGGGCACTCCGCAGACCGCGGTGGCGCCATCGCTTCAGCACTCCTCTTGAACTCATCATTGAGTGCCTCCACCTCCAGCCTCTTCGCCTCGAGAGCCTCACGCCTCGCTGCCAGGGAAGCCTGCGCCGCCTCGAGCTGGCGCTGCTTCTCATCCAGCTCCTCCTGCATCTTGCGGTGCTGGTGCTTTGCCTTCTCCAAGGCCTGCTGCGCGCGCCTGTGCACCGTTTGCGGCGGTAGCATAGCCTTGCGTGCATTCTTCGCCTCGTCCAGGTTCTGCTGCATTGTCTTTCGCAGCTCAGCCAACGATGGGTCGTCACCGAGTGTGGCCAAGCTCTTGTGCAGCTTGTCGATTCTGTCGGCCATCTGCGTGAAGGTGCTGGAACTCTGCTCACGCTCTGCCGACTGTCCTTCACCGTCCGCCCCCATGGCATCGGGACTGCGCTTCCCCGAAACTGTTCGGGAAGGGGCGGACGCAGGCCACGGGCGCGGCCCTCCTCCGCTCTTACCTCCTCCAAGCTTCGGCCACAACGAGTCCGTCTCGATCGCTGCCATGAGCTTGTCAACCTTGGCGGACAGCTGCGCAACTGCAGAAGCATCACTTCCCTTGCCCTTGCCCTTGCTCTTGCTGCCACGCCCATCTCCTTTGTCTTTGACTGCTGCGGCGTGCGCAATGCGTGCTGCCTTGGCAACTCGTTGAGGCGCCGCCTTCCCACATACGTGGCCGCCCGCCCGCATGAGCACGTCCACACAAGCTTGCGGGGGCCGAATAGGACCGCCGCCTCCTTCTCCATGCCGCCGTCGCGAGCGGCCTGCACTGAGCAGGCGGTCCTGACCTGGGCTGACAGGCCGCACTCGTGAAGATCTGCCGCGGACTAGCGGTATCCGTTTGGTCCCCTGGGGAACAAAGCATCTTGAGCCAAAATGGCTACGGAGAGGGCGAGGAGGAGGAGGAGGAGGATGGCAGGCAGGACAAAGAGCATCAGACATACGTTAGGCTGCGCTTCGGGAAAACAACTTCGTCCAAGCCAGCCCTACTGCCAGCGAAAGGTACGGAATGAAGCTTGAGCCCATGTGAATATCTAAGCTATCGTCTCGTACAGACCTATACGATGCTGAAAGGTACAATTTCTTGCTGCAGCCCAGGGCTTGACCTAAACCGTGTTTTTCGTTTTCGTTGTGTTTTCGTTTTCCCTCGGTTTGTCTTGAATTCGCCTTCGCTGCAAAACGACATCGAAACGAAAACGGCCCACGAAATCGCCCAAACACTGTTTGGGTCTGCCCCTGCTGCAGCCTGGCCTGCCTAACTGAATGGACAAGGAACATTACAATACAGAGGAAAGAAGATGGGGATCTTGCGATTCTGGAGTGGCACGTGTTTCGCACTGGGCGTTTTAGCTCGGATTCGGGCCCCGGGGTCCTCCCAGATCGATCCAGCTCGAGAACAGCTACAGAGAAATAACGTCCAAGGCTCCCGTCGTGACGTTGAATCTCAAGACGAGAGGACAAAGTAGAGGGCGAGTCAAAACAGCATGGGAACGAATGGGGAAGAGGGGGAGGAAGAAAGATGGACAGGGGAGAGGGAGGACGAAGAAGACGAGGGACGAGCGTAGATTGAGGAGGGAGCGGGAGGCAAAGATGAGGGCGAGGAAAAAGAGCGGGAGAACGATGGCAGTGCAATGCTCACGCAGGCCGCGCACCGGATACAACTGGCAGACGTGCTAGCGCTGTCCAGATGGATCCTACAACGGAAAAACTTGGCCACGAACCAACGTCCCGGAAAAAAAAGGCTACGGTACGTCAGGTTCGTGTCGTGACGACCCCGGCGTTGGTTTCTGACTCCGCGTGGATCGTTCAACCTTGAACGATCGGCGACTGTGGATCGCTCGATCGTTCCATATAGGCCGATTCTGGGCCACTGGCGGCGTTCAACCTTGAACGCCCGCGGCGGGGTCGCCGCCGGTCGACACGACGCGAACCTACCGTACACGGCACGCCCATGCAGCTAAACAGGTCGACGGCTGGCGTCCCCAACCACGAGCAACACCGCACTCGAACAACCGATGACGCCGTCCTGGACAAGGCCAACTGCCATGACCTCGAACTGAGTTGCGGCGGCGGCTAGGCAGAGCAACTGCGCTGGCGGAAGACCTAGCTAAACGGGGCCACCGCTGTAGCGACCACGATGGAAACCACCGCCTCCGCAAGTTCACATAAGAAATCTAGGACGGGCGAAATCCCGCATTTGTGGGGCAGCGTTTCCCACTTGCGCTCATGGCCCATTCGGCACTGCGCGCAGCTCAAGCAATTACGTGCGCCAGTACTTCAAAACTTACAGTAGCAAAGCACCCTGATAGGAGCAAAGGTGGCATGAGAGACCTGTGGAACCTGCAGGACATGTGGGACCATCGAGGCCTGCTAGACCATTTGGAACTGTGAAACCTGTGGGACCTGTGGGACCTGCGGGACCTGCGGGACCTGCGGGATCTGTGGGATCTGCGGGACCTGCGGGACCGGCGAACCCTCCGGGGCCTGTAGGACCTCTGGGACTTGTCGGACCATCGGGACCAACGAGCCCTGTTGGAGCTGTGGGACCTGTGGGACCTCGACTTGTGGGGCCTGCGGGACCGAAGACACCTGCGAGACTTGTGGGTTTTGTGGGATCTGTGGGACATGCAGAACCTGTGGGGCCTGTGGGACATGAGAAACCTGTGAGACTTGTGGGGCCTCTGGGGCCTGTGGGACCTGCGGGACCTGTGCGACCTGCAAGACTTGCGTGACCCGTGGAACTTGTGGGACCAGTGGGACCCGTCGGACCTGTGGGACCCGTGGGACCTGTGTGGCCCATGAGACCTGTGAGACCTGTGGGACCTGTGGGACCAGTGGGACCTGTGGGACCCGCTGGGCCTGTGGGAAATGTGGGACCTGGGGGACGTGTAGGACATGTGTGTTCTGTGGGATCAGTGGGGCCAGTGGGAATTGCGGGTGCTGCGAGATTTGTTGAAACTGTGGGACATGTGGGGCATGTGGGTCCTGTGAGACCTGAGGGGCATGCAGAATCAACGAGACCTGCGAGACCTGCGGGGCCTGTGGGACCTGTGGGCGTTGTGGTATCTGTGGGGAATGTGGAACCTGTGGGCCCTCTAGGATTCATGGGACATGAGAGAACTATGGGATTTGTTTGACCAATGGGACTGTGGGGCCTGAGAGACCTGCCAGACTTGCGAGGCCTGCAGCGCCTGCAAGATTTGTTGGACCTGCGGGACCTGTGGGATATGTGGAGTATGCGGGACATGCGCGACCTGTGAGACTTCCGACAGCTAGGGGACTTGGGGGACTTGTGGGACCCGAGGGACCCGTGGGCCCTGTGGGAACTGCGGGACCAGTGGGACCTGCGAGACCTGAGAGACCTGCGAGACCTGTGGGACCTGCGGGGACCTGTGGGACCTGCGGGGACTGTTATACCTGCGCGACCTGCGCGACCTGCGAGATCTGCGAGACCTGTGGGCCTTGTGGTAACTGTGGGACCTGTGGGGCCTGTGATGTCTTTGAATCCTGTGAAACCTGTGACCGCCGAGGACCAAATGAGGCCCTGAATTGTGGGACCGCCGGGTACCCAGATAAGGACCTTACTGAGGACACGGGGAACTAACTCCCTATTAATATTCGTGGATCGACAAATGCCTCGTGCTTTGGGACCATCGAGACCCCCAAGGGGGATTTGTTAAGGAACCCGAGAATTCCTTACGTCCACCATGTTGTCTTGGAGCGGGGGGACCCAAAATTCAAACGTCCCAGCGTGGCCGTCGGAGGCCCTCAACTTATTAGCCAACCCAGTTGGAAACACGACGCAACTGATTCGCCGAGACGTGAAGGAGACT